CCTGAGGACACCTGCAGACTGAAAGCAAGGGGATGGAGAACCATCTATCATGCTAATAAAGGTCAAAAGAAAGCCATAGCAGCCATACTTATATCAGACAAACTAGATTTTAAAACAAGTTTGTAACAAGAGATGAAGAAGGACATTATATCATAATTAGGTGTCTATCCATCAAGAGGAGCTAACAATTGTAAATGTTTATGCCCTTAATTGCCAGGAGCCGCACCGGCCTCTCTGGATGGCAATCACAGCAAGGAAGTGGCAAGGTTTGCAGTTCCTGCCATGAGAAATGAAAACTGGTATCTCCTTCTGCTTCTATTGGCTCATGTTGGATATAAGCCTACTGGTATTGACCAGGCCTCACAATATTCCATATCAGACCCATAATCTGAATACAGATACCTCATAAGGAAAAGCATATAACTGCATTTACAAAAGAGATTTTAGATGAAAGCTCTGTGGGCGATTGTCAAAAGGCTCTTCCTATGGGCCTTGCAGATCCGAGATTTAGGGGGTTAAGAACACAAGAATTACAATTGATCCTGGCCCTGAGACCAAGGGCCTATTTTGGGGTTAAGAGCAAAACATAGTTACTACATATATCTTTGCTAATTGGTGAAACATAACAGTCCCTTCCTCAAGGCCTACTTTCCACAAACACCCTCTCTTACACTGGCAGCTGGGATGAGGATAGATAACAGTAGCTAAAACATAAACCAAGGGCAAAAGACTGACCCAATCAGGGACACCATGATAGTCTCAACAAAAAAACCAATTCAGAAACAATCATCCTCTTGAGAGCCAGACAAAATACTCCTAGCTTATCTATATACAATTTGACCTATATGTTATCCTATTTTTCACTAAGAACAATATGTTATTTCCTTGGTAGGAATAATTCTACTATTGTTATCACAAAAGGCCTCCCATTGTAAGAAATTCCTTTCTCTGACTTCATCTTGTTGCTGAGCCTTAAAATAAAGACACAAAAACCAACAGGACAGAGATACCTGCCTGGTGATCAGAAAGAATCTCAGGGCTCTCTCTCTCTCTCTCTCTCTCTCTCGCCAACACCATCCATCTTTCAGGGACCCCTGGACCTGCCGGAGCCAGCTCGGCCTCCGGCATCTAATGTGGAAGAACTCAAATATATCAATCACAAACATAAACAAATGTACTGATAATAATACCATAATTGGGTAGAGAACTTTAACATTCCACTTACAGTCGGGAGCATGGGTGGCTCAGTAGGTTAAGCATCCAACTTTAGCGCAGCTCATAATCTCACAGCTTGTGAGTTTGAACCCCGTGGCAGGCTCTGTGCTCACAACTCAGAGCCTGGAGTCTGCTTCAGATTCTATCTCTGTCTCTCTCTGCCCCTTCCCTGCTCATGCACTGTCTCTTTCTCTCAAATAAAAATAAGCATTTAAAAAATTAAAAATTACTCTACATACAGCAATGGACAGATCTTCTAGGAGAAAAGTCTATAATGAAACAAGGCTCTGAATGACACATTAAACCAGATGGACTTAACAGATATATTCAGAACTTTTCATACAAAACAGTAGAATGTACAGTTTTCACAAGTGCACATGGAACATTCTCCAAAATAGATCACATACTGGCTCACAAAACAACCCTCAACAAATACAAAAAGATTGGGAATATACATGCATATTTTAAGATCACAACGCTATGAACTTGAAATCAACCACAAGAAAAATATGTGGAAAGCCCCCAACATGGAGGTTAAAGACCATCCTACTAAAGGACGAATGTATAAGCCAGGAAATTAATGAAGAAATTTAAAAATATATATGGAAGCCAATGAAAATGAAAGCATAGCAGTCCAAACCTTTTGGGATGCAGCAAAGGTAGTCCTAAGAGGAAAACTCATTGCAGTTAAAGCCTATCTTAAGAAGTAAGAAGGTCCCAAATACAGAACCTAACTCACACCTATAGGAGCTAGAAAAGCAGCAGTAAATAAAGCCCAAAGCTAGCATAAGAAGGGAAATGATAAAGATTAGAGCAGAAATAAACAGTATAGAATTGGGGGGGAAAAAAACAAAACAGCAGAACAGATCAGTGAATCTAAGAGCTGGTTTTTGAAAGATTAATAAAATTGATAAACCCCTAGCCAGATTTCTCAAAAAGAAAAGAGGACCCAAATAGATAATATCACAAATTATATGGAAAGATCACAACCAACACCACAGAAATTCAAACAATTATTAGAGAATATGATGAAAAATTATATGCCAACAAACTGGACAACCTGGAAGAAAAGGAAAAATTCCTAGACACCCACACACTACCAAAACTCAAATGGGAAGAAATAGAAAATTTGAAAAGACACATGACCAGTGAAGAAATTGAATTGGTTATCAAAAATCTCCAAACAAATAAGTGTCCTGGGCCAGAAGGCTTCCCAGGGAATTCTACCAGATATTTAAAGCAGAGTTAATACGTATTCTTCTCAAGCTATTCCAAAAAAAATAAATGGAAAGAATGCTTCCGGACTTATTTTATGAAGTCAGCATTCCTTTGATTCCCAAACCAGATAAAGACCCCACTAAAAAGAAGAATTATAGGGCATGATTCTGATGAATCTGATGAATATGGATGCAAAAATTCTCAACAAGATACTAGCAAATTGAATTCAACCGTATATTAGAAGAATTATTCACCATGATCAAGTGGGATTCATTTCTGGGCTACAGGGCTGATTAAATATTTGCAAATCAAACAACGCCATACATCACATTAATAGAAGAAAGGATAAGAACAATATGATCCTGTCAATAGATGCAGAAAAAGAATTTGAAAACATACAGCATTACTTCTTAATAAAAACCCTCAAGAAAGTCTGGATATAAGGAACATAACTTAACATCATAAAAGCCGTATATGTAAGGCCCACAGCTAATATTATCCTCAATGGGGAAAAACTGAGAACTTTCCCCCTGATATCAGGAACATGACATGATTGTCCACTCTCACCACTATTGTTTAACATGGTGTTGGAAGTCCTAGCCTCAGCAATCAGACAACAAAACAAAATAAATGCCAGTCAAATTGGTGAAGAAGAAGTCAAACTTTCACTTTTCATAAGTGATGTGATACTCTACATGGAAAACCTGAAAGATTCAACCAAAAAACTGCTAGAGCTGATACATGAACTCAATAAAGTTTCAGGATACGAAATTAACATACAGAAATCTGTGGTGTTTCTAAACATCAATAATGAAGCAGTATAAAGAGAAATTAAGAAATCAATCCTATTTACCAAGGCAATGAAAAGAATAAGATACCTAGGAATAAACTAACCAAAGAAGTTAAAGACCTCTATTCTGAAAACTATAAAACACTGATTTAAAAAAATTGAAGAGGACACAAAGAAATGGAAAGATATTCCATGCTCATGAATTGGAAGAACAAAATTATTAAAACATCTATACTACTCAAAGGAACCTACACATTTAAAGCAATCCCTATCAAAATCCACCAGCATTTTTCACAAAAATACAACAAACAATCCTAAAATTTGTATGGAACCACAAAAGACTCCAAATTGCCAAAGCAACCTTGAAAAAGAAAAGAAAAGCGAAGGCTTCACAATTCCAGACCTCAAGTTATATCACAAAGCTGTAGTGATCAAAACAGTACAGTAATGGAGCAAAAATAGACATAGATCAACGGAATAGAATCTAAAACCCAGAAATGAACCACAACTATATAGTCAGTTAATCTTTGGCAAAGCAGGAAAAAGTATCCAATGGGAAAAAGACAGTCTCCTTAGCAAATGGTACTGAGAGAACAGGACAGCAACATGCAGAAGATGAAACTGGACCATTTTCTTACACCACACACAAAAATAAATTCAAAATGGATGAAAGACCTAAATGTGAGACAGGAAACCATCAAAATCCTATAGAATAAAACAGGCAGGTACCTCTTTGACTTCAGCCACAGCAACTTCTTACTTGACATGTCTCCAAATGAGAGGGAAATAAAAACAAAAATGAATTATTGGGACTTCATAAAGATAAAAAGCTTCTGCACAGTAAAGGAAACAATCAACAATACTAAAAGGAAACTAACAGACTGGGAGAAGATACTTGCAAATGATATATCAGATAAAGGGTTAGTATCAAAAATCTATAAAGAACTTACCAAACTCATCACTCAAAAAACAAATAACCTAGTTAAGAAATGGGCAAAAGACATGAATAGACACTTTTCTAAAAAAGACATCCAGATGTCTAACAGACACATGAAAAGATGCTCAACATCACTCGTAATCAGGGAAATGTAAATCAAAACCACAATGAAATACCACCTCACACCTTCAAGATGTCTAAATTAACAACTCAGGAAACAATAGATGGTGGCGAGGATGTGGAAAAAAGGAAACCCTCTTGCATTGTTGGTGGAAATGGAAGCTGGTGCAGCCACTCTGAAAAACAGTATGGAAGCTCCTTAAAAAATTAAAAATAGAACTACCCTACAATCCAGCAATTGCACTGCTGGGAATTTATCCAAAGGATACAAAAATGCTGACTTGAAGGGCACATGCACCACAATGTTTATAAGCAGAACTATCAATAATAGCCAAATTATGGAAAGAGCCCAAATGTCCACCAACTGTTTAATGGTTAAAGAAGATATGGGATATGTATACAATGGAATACTACTCAGCGATCAAAAAGAATGAAATTTTGCCATTTGCAACAACATGGATGGAACTGGAGACTATGATGCTAAGTGAAATAAGTCAGAGAAAGACAGGTATCATATGATTTCATTCATATGTGGAATCTGAGAAACTTAACAGATGATCATAGGGGAAGGGAAACCTCACTGCTATGAGGAGGAAACCTGCTGCTCCCAGAAATAGAAACATAAAGGCTTGTATGAAACAGGCAAGAGAGGAAATAGTTTGCCTGCCTAAAAGAAAGATGACCAGCAACTTGGGAATAGCAGCACTTATGAAACAACACTCAAAGAAGGAGAAAATGCTGAAGAAAAAAGTACATAGGTGTCTGGAACCAGGAGTCGGCACAGGTGATGGTCACTATGAGAGCATTGCCTGCAATGGATGCCAGGTATGCCAGCAGGTGCACCAGGAAGAGGACTTTTCCCAGGTGTTGGAAGGCAGGGAATCCCTCCAAGGTGAATTCCTGCACAGTGGTCCCATTCCCCATTTCCATGGGCATCTCTTTCCACAACATCATCACTGCTGTCCTTAACCTAAAGTCAGCAACAACATGCTTTTAAAGAAATATGATTAAGGTATTTGCCTATCCAAGAAGGTGGCTAGACTGATAGCGAAGTAGTTTAGTCAGTTGGTTCTTGAATCAGATGGACCTGAATTCAATACTAGCTAAACAGTGTGTTCTAATCCCTGAGATGGGTCATCTTTGCAAAGTTAGCGAAACTTGAGACCTTCACTTTCACCCTTAGTGAAATGAAGATGGTAGGATACCTGTTCATGTTCCTATGAGAATTAAGTAAGATAAAGTATACAACTCACCTGACATATGATGCTAATGTTTTCTCTTGTTCCTCAAAGTCTAACTATAATGCTATGATCATTAATATAATGCTTAAATAGAGCATCAGCAGGAGGCAGGGTTATTGACATTTTTGTAGTTATATATTTTATTATTTTTAATGATATTATCAGTTTATAAGTAAACATAACAGTAATGTTAGTAATATTCCCTTTGAATATCCCTTTTAATAATGTAACACATTCTGTGGCCCAAGTTGTCATCAACATCATCTGTTGAGGATCTATGCTTGTTCTGTGCTGGTCATTGAAATTCAGTATTTCTATTACTCTTCACCATAACCACAAACCCCTTATTCTACAGAAGCAGAAACTGAGGCTTAGAGAGTTCCAGAGAACTTAGGTCACATAGCTGGGACTTTACCCAGAATACCCAAATCCAGAGTACCTACTGTTTCCAAATGCAGTGACAAAATCTTTTAAAATGGGAGTAAACCAATTGTTGGTGATTTCTCAACCTTAAGTGAAAGATCAGCTTTATATCTTACTTGTTTCTACCCTTAGTTATAATCACTGATGAGTTACTGGCCTGTGGAATGACACGGTGCTTAGAGAGCATCTACTTTAGCTCAAGCATTTTATAGAAGAGACTGGAAACCAGAGACATTGCGTGCTACTCAACAGGACATAAACTGTAAATCCAGAATTTGCCAACCACCCCTTGGGTTTTGCTAGCCTGTGAGGATGGTGGGACTCACAGTAGGTCACAGGATTAACCTACTTAAGAGGATATGCTGAAAAGCTGGCACTTATACACTGACTCTTCCATGAAGCTCAGTGAACATCTCTCTCTTCAGTCCTCTCAATCAGTGACTTCTCTCACAATGGTATTTGGCTCTAGTAGCTCAATAGGCTAAACATTGGGAGTATGGAATGTGTCACTCTCACTAACCCACTGTGGGCCAGATCCCCTGAAGTGTTGCTTGTGAAACCAAACTGCTCACCCCCGAGTGGCACAGCCTGAAGGAGCTTCTGCTTCTGTTCCGTTTGTCCCCAGTAAGTCCACAAATCATCACGGTCCCTATGGCCAGTCACACACAGGAGTCACCTTATGGCAGGCAGAACTTCCTCCTCTAGCAGCTATTGTCTTCCAAGAAATCAAGAGTTTGCTGTGAGATGAGAGGAAAGGAGAGAAGTAAATGCATTTATCATAGCCTACTGTCCCACAGTAAGGTGAATATGCATCCCATGTTACCAGGTCTGGCTGACAAAGCCCTTTTTCTACAGCCCAAAATGTTTCATACCACTGCAAGGCTACATGGCAGCCTTGACCACTGAAACCCCAGGAAGAAGCAAAGTAAAAACAACCACATTTCACTATAGCCAATTCTGGGCTAGATATGGAATCTCAGACTAGGGTTCTTTCTCCAAGTGGGTAAAAACCTGCCTAACAGGCAACATTGTGGTCTACCTCCTTTACTTGCTTCTCATAGGTTTATCCCTGGGTACTTCTGAGACAAGCTCCTTCTGCTGTAGTGCTCCACTGTCACTGGTACACCTGCTCCAAGATACCTTGTCCTCCACTATGCTCCTCCATCATATCTTCACCTTTCCATATAGAGAAGCATCTTTGTTTTACTGCATCAACAATGAGAACCTGCTGACACGCAAGTCTGAGGCTTTCTGATATTTTTCATGCAAGACTGTTTGATCACCAAACAGGATGGACTGAGCCAGTGAGCAGAGAGTGCAGCCTCCTAATTTTACTAGATGATGAAGACACAGGGGCAGAAAGTAAAGGTACGGCTGCTGTCCTGGGGGCAGCTAACGGGTCACTGTTGAGAACAAGTTACTGGGGCAACCCTTGGATTTATCTTCCCAATTAATTATAGTGACACTGACTCCCACTGTTCTCTGCTAAGAGTTTTCAAGGAAATTATATGGTTTCTAAATTCCCAAGCTGAATGTTGCTACTAACTTGGGGTAAAAGTCCAGACTACAATTTTCTCCATGTGTTGTATGCCAGAGCTTAGTTGTTAAAAGAACAATTCTATGATGAGTAAGAGCTCGATTACACCCTGGCTTTCATCAGGCTTTTTGGAAGATACTGGGAAAGTCCACCTTTCTTGGTTAATCATTCTTCATGCTTCTCCTAACATATGATTCTTTTCATCCAAAGGATATTTTCATTTTGTTTCACAATCTTGAAAACGAAAGCACACAATTTTTCTTCTTCAGGGGAGAAAAGGAAATGCTTGGTGGCTTCTGAAAAATCTCTAACCTGGCAGGGCCCTCTCTCCCAGATAAAAGTATCTGGGAAGTGGATCCTTAGATTCTTTCTAGATGGAGTTGAGGAAGAGATGTAAGCCTTAGGGTGGAGAAGCTATATCCATAGCAACCACTGCATTGTACCATAGTACCTCAGCTGGGCTGCAACAGCAGGAGTGACCCATTTTTCTTGGCCTTGGCTTCCCACTGAAATCCAGAGAAGTGGACTAAACTCCCAAAGTGTATTTTCAGGCAATCCTGGGGCATATGGTAGCTGTTTGGAAATTTGTTCTGCTTGAATCTTCCCTTATCAGTATTGAACTTACAACGTCAAGGCAAATATTATGGAAACTTTCACGATTTTCCTGTGGGTCCCACTTTCCCACTATTAGACAAAATCATTTTTATAACATCTCTCCATCAACACACTTTGCTTTCATTCCAGGCCATACCTGGACTCTATGGTCATATTCTCAGTTGGAAGTTAGGAAAAATAAAGAATATGAGAGATGAGTTACAGAAGCTGGAGTAGAATGAGACTATAAATTTTAATGCTCAGATAAAGGATCCTTTGCATGGGGTATTAATTTTATTCAGTGCCAGATTCATGGTGCATAAACACCTGTTACACATGAGGAGCACCAATGCCAACATGACAGTGGGCAGGTGGGATGTCTTCATGTGGTTTGATGGAAAGGTTTGCAAAGGGGACACTCAAAGAAATGAGCTGAACTAATTACACTTTGTATCTAGCATAAGAGGTGGTGAGCTGACACCAACAATATTTCAAATTGTTCCACTTTTCTGGATAGTGCCTTCATGGCTCTCCAATACCACTATTTATTCATGTTTTTTGATGTAGTCTCAATAGTTTATTCTTTTTTTTTTTTTTAACCTTGTTTCAGCAACATATATAGAAAGAAATTGCTATGGCCTATGTCAAAGAGGTGTCTGCCTGTGTTCTCCTCTAAGATCTGATGATTTCCTGTCTCACGTTTAGATTATTCATCCATTTTGAATTTATCTTTGTGTATGGTGAAAGAAGGCAGTGCAGTTTCATCCTTTTGCATGTTATTGTCCAGTTTTCTCAACACCATTTGCTTAAGAGATTGTCTTTTTCTATTGGATATACTTTCCTGCTTTGGCAAAGATTAATTGACCATGTAGTCGTGGTTCAGTTCTATATTTTCTATTCTGTTTCATTGATCTATGTGTCTATTTTTGTTCTATTGCCATATTGTTTTGATTACTACAGCTTTGTAATATAGCCTGAAATCCAGAATCGTGATGCTTCCGGCTTTGCTTTTCATTTTCAAGGTTGCTGTCACTATTTAAAGTCTTTGGGGGGTTCCACACAAATTTTAGGATTGTTTGTCCTAGCTCTGTGAAAAGTACTGTTGGTATTTGTATATAGATTACATTAAATGTGTAGATTCCAGTAGATAGTATAAACATTTTAAAAATATTTCTTCTTCCAATCCATGAGCATGAATGTCTTTCCAATTCTGTGTCCTTGCAATTTTCTTCGTCAGTGTTTCTTTGTTTTGTTTTGTTTTTTTAATAGTTTATTGTCAAGTTGGTTTCTATATAACACACAGTGCTCATCCTCATCGGTGTTTTATAGTTTTCAGAGTACAGGTCTTTCACTTCTCTGGTTAGGTTTATTCTTCAGTATCTTATTGTTTTTGTTGCATTGGTACATGGGATTGAGTTCTTAATTTCTCTTTCTTCTGCTTCATTATTTGTGTCTAGAAGTGCCTTCCCCCATGGTCTTCTGTTAAGTTTCTCAAGATCCACATATGAATGAAAACATATGATATCTGCCTTTCATTATTTAAAATTTTCGAATTCATGTTCATCAGGGATATTGGCCTGCATTTCTCCTTTTTACGGGAATCTTTGTCTGGGTTTGGTGTCAAGGTAATGCTGGCCTTATAGAATGACTTTGGGAGTTTTCCTTCTATTTCTATTTTTGGAATACTTTGAGAAGAATGGGTATTAACTCTTCCTTAAAAGTTTGTTAAAATTCACCCGTGAGCCATCTGGCCCTGGACCTCTTTTGTTGGGAGACTTTTTTATTGCAGATTCAAATTCTTTTCTGATTTCAAATTCTTGAAATTCTGTTCAGTTTTTTTTTTCCAAGTTTTCTATTTCCTCTTGCTTCAGTTTGGGGTGTTTCTATGTTTCTAAAAATGTATCCGTATCTTCCAGATTGTCCCAATTTATTAGCATATAATTTTTCATAATATTGTCTTCTTTATGTTGTTCTAAAAATTGTGGTTTACTATTAAATGTTTATTTGAGAGAGAGTGCATGCTCGTGAGCAGGGGAGGAGCAGAGGAAGAGAGAGAACCTAAGCAAAGCAGGCTCCACACTGTCAGTGTAGAAGCCTGATGTAGGGCTGCATCTCATGGAACCATGAGATCATGAACTGAGACAAAAATCAAGTGTTGGATGTTTAACCAACTGAGCCACTCAGGTGCCCCCATAATGTTCTCTTCTGGCGGTTTGTATTTCTGTGGTGTTGGTTTTTATTGCTCCTCTCTCATTTGTGATTTTATTTCGGTACTTTCTCTTTTCTTTTTGATAAGTCTGGCTGGAGGTTTATTAATTGTATTAATTTTTTCAAGGAACCAACTCTTAGTTTCATTAATCTGTTCTACTCTTTGGGGGTGTTCTATATCATTTATTTCTGTTCTAATCTTTATCCCCCTGCTTCTGCTGGCTTTAAGTTTCATTTGTTTTTCTTTTTCTAACCCCTTTAGGTGTAAGATTTGGTTTTTTATTTGGCATTTTTCTTGCCTCTTGAGGTAGACCTGTATTGCTATATAATTTCCTCTTGGAACTGCTTTTAATCCATCCCAACGGCTTTGGACCACTGTGTTGTCATTTTCACTTGCTACCATACATATTTTTTATTTCTTTTTAAATTTCCTGGTTGACTCCTTCATTCTTTTTTAAAACTTTTTTAATGTTTTTTATTTACTTCTGAGAGAGAGACACACACAGCGTGAGCAGGGGAGGGTTAGAGAGAGGGAGATACAGAATCTAAAACAGTCTCCAGACTTTGAGCTAGCTGCCAGCATAGAGCCCGACGTGGGGCTTGAACCCATGAACTGTGAGATCATGACCTGAGCCGAAGTCATATGCTCAACCGACTGGGGAGCCACCCAGGTGCCCCAACTCATCCATTCTTTAGGAGCATGTTCTTGAACCTCCATGTATTTGTGGTGTTCCCAAACCTTTTCTTGTGGTTGACTTCGGGTTTCATAGCATTGTGCTCAAAAAAAAAAAAAATTAGTTTCAATCTTTTTGTGTTTGTTGAGGTCTGATTTGCTACCATTATGTGATCTATTCTGGAGAATCTCCCATTTGCACCTAATCTCTTTGTATCTGTTGAGGCCTTATTTGTGACCTAATATGTGATGAATTCTGGAGACAATCCCATTTGCACCTGAAAAGAATGTGTATTCTGCTGTTGTAGGATGAAATGTTGTGAATATTTCTAAGTCCATCCAGTCAGTATATCACTCAAAGCCATTTTTTCCTTGTTTATTTTCTGTTTAGATGATCCATACATGGATGTAAGGGTGCTGTTCAAGTCCCTTACTATTATTGTATTATTATCAATAAGTTCTTTTATGGTTGTTATTGTTTTATATTTGTGTGCTTCCATGTTGGGTGCATAAATGGTTACAATTGTGTATCTTATTGTTGGATTGTCCCCTTTGTTACGATATGGTGCCCTTTTTCATTTCTTGCTAGTCTTTGTTTTAAAGTCTACTTTGTCTGATATAAGTATTAGTACTGAGG